TTGTTTGGATTTCTTATATGTTGCTCTCCAGTTCCATTTCGGTGGGTTGGTAACTATATTTTACTATTTCACACAAAACTACCTAATTTAATACTTAAGTAACACAAAGTAAACAGTTAAATTGGTATGAAAAACATGGTCGCATTTTAAAAATCCTGGAATAACAATACTCACTCTAAGAATGTTCCTTGAGAAAGGAAGTAAAATTTCTGAAGCATTTTTGCGAAGACTAATTTTTAGTCTCCTCGATAAATGATTTGCAAAAGTGTGTTATGATAGAAGATATCATGATAAAAAAAGAACACTAACAATTAGATAGTAAGCGTTGAAATTGTAATCTCATGTAAATAAAGTTCATCAACATGGTGAAAAATATATCTGACGAATTTCCTGTAGGTTTACTTTGAACTTTTATAAATCCATTTTTTGAGGGTTTATTTTTACTGTTATTGGTGTCAATCAGTCTATCAGTCTTTAGTGACCCAGATACATTCACAGAAGATTGCCCCGATATTACCATTTGGTGGCAAGTTGTTATTAAGTCGGATGGTACCTATTAGAGGAATACGTAAATCCCATTTCGTCCTACTTTGGACTCATCGCTCGGATGTCTCTGATTCCTTCTTTCAGTTTACATACTTGGAGTCGAACTCAGTACCTTTCAGCTCAAATAACAATGTGTTATCTAATGAACTACTGAGTGTAAATAGCCACTAGCTTGTGCAAATATATATCAATTTCGTTCGTATAGGTTTGTGTTTTTGAGTTGTTAATATTTAGGTCTGATAGTGACAGTCCCTATCGCCACATTTATATCCTGAGTCGATTGCCCCAATATTGTCATTTAACTGGTACATCTAAATGACGAATCACAAATAGGATAAAACGTGCTTTCTGGATTCCACTACTAAGAACTACTCAAATTTCGGTTTTTTTATCTTTAACAATGATCAGTTAGGTATTTGTTTTCATTAAAAGTTGCATTACACATTATTAGAAATATCTATCTACTGATTCAATATGGCCCATGTAATTTTATACAAAATTCGATGATGAAATAACTTCGTAAGGTGAGCTAATCAAAAATCCTGCGCTAAATAACTAGGAAATTTTCATAAAATTCAATACTCAATATATCCGCTGTTTTTAAATCACTTTACTTTATTAAAAGTAGAATTTTTATTTTTTCCATTATTGAAATAAGTTCTCAAAAAAATGGTACTTAACAATTTTGGAAATGAAACAAACATAATAACATATGTTTAAACTTTATATAAAGCGAGTATTACCAATCGTCATAATGAGGAACAAAATAGATGCTCACCCATGCCATCACGTGATGATGATGTTAATTGTACTGGTTAACCAAGTAATAAAAGTTTTGAAAGTAAGAATCCTTTTAGTTTTTGATATTAGATGATTGGAAGTGAATACGGCCCGAATTAACGTCTGGAACTGTGAATCTAACTAAATTGGGTTCAAATCCACCAAAGAGCATCAATTCCCTCAAGATTACAGATATGTCATGGCGACACGTGCCAGCTAACAAGAGACATTGGTCCAGGATTTTCTCTCAACCACTTCAAGCCACCTAAAATAGTGGTATATTGTTACTCATTCAACTATCAGCCAAACCCAAATGTCACATCAATTCATAAAATCACTGAATGTGAGTCTAAGTCATTTTGATAAATGGAAACTACCTAGTTGAATTCCTCGTGACTTTCAACTACATTTTTGAATATTTAAGATGGCTACTTAAATACATATCAGTAGTTGAAAAGTAGTGAATTAGTAGATCCCAGTAAGAAGAAAATTCAGATGAAATATAGTCGTAAAATAACGTAAAAATTCAGTTTAACCACCCAACAATGTTTATTAATGACATACATAGCATTAACAAAATACCTAAATCCGTGAATCCATAGGATTTTAATACTTAACAAACATACAAATATCAAAGACTAAACAGAATTATGTCAATATAACATCAATTTTATTTAAATCATGAACCGACCTATGTTTGTACACCATTGAAAAGCTAAGGGTACTGAACGGACATTTTTCCTAGTATCAAACTCCTCAGCAATGCGCATCTACGAAGTTAGACATTAACATCGTCGGATACCGGCTCAGTGATATGGAGTTTACGCACAAGACCGAAGGTCCTGGGTTAGATTCTCCCGCACATAGTGACAGATGTGCACTCCTGAGTCCCATACTAGGACAAAACAGCTATTAACTGCTTCTAGATTTTCGACGATGTTCTAACTTAGACCGGTTCATGATTTTAATGAAACACAAAAATCTCAACAACCCAATGCTGTTAACATTTATTTCATAACTAAGTGAACTAATTTATTTTACACTATTTCTCAGTCGGAATTAATCGACGGTACCAGAGAACCTGAATAAAATAAGAATAGCCAAGAGTTGATTTGGGTCCGTTTTGAAGGTTAATGGTTATTACCACAAGTTATAATCAGTTTTAAAATCATTGAAATCTAAGCACCAGACATGCTTCATTCTATGTTATGATAACTCGAAAATCTACATTTATGACCACACCTATGATAAAGGATCACTATGTCCCATAAAAATCCTGATCCGTTTAGGTCACTAAAATAGAGTAGCTCATATTTCTGGCTTCACGTTGTTCGCGATACTGCGTGACTATTATCGAAAACCTAATATTAACATACTAATTCCACCAAACAGTAAATGATCTGTCGATGCCAAATACTTCAGTCGTTTGTTTGTTACATGACTTCTAATCATGTTTAATTTTGTGTTCAATATTTTCTATGTGAGCGGGTTATTTTGTTATTAAACCGTTAAGGTTAATAATTTTGTCGGTCACTTCATACCACTGTATACTATCAAATGACCGAAATATTTTGATAAGTTTTTTAATTGGACGCTAGATTCGGTTCCTAAACTCTTCTTGTAACCCCCAGGCTAGATCTAAACAGCAACTTGAATACGAGAGGAAAGGCGCGAAATATGGAAGAAACCCTTTACTCCATGGTTCGTTTATGTACAGAAAATAAAGGGTATTTGTAGCACCCTTCTCTAATATCAGTTTTAATACAAAAATGATTAAAATATTGCTGAACACATGAGTCTAAGGTCATTGGTTAGATTCTGTGTATAGTAATTATTATACACTCCTAAACAGTCCTAAACTGGTACACTACACCCCGTCAACTTTTCCTGACTAACTCAAGTTCTTCAGCTAATATCATTCAGTGATCAGAAAAAATAAGAAAGATTAGTTCAGCGAAGAGTTCTCTTTTCGGCGAATTCATTTTCAATGCTGTACAATCGCAAATATATATGCTTATTTTTACAAGATAATAATAATAGTAATTAAGTAGAAGTCTTCCTAAGACAATTAAACTGCATCTTCTCTGCATTGCCGAAGCAATAGCCATACACCTGGAAAAACCAGAATTGTATGTGAAAAAGAGACTGTTACAACCTCTTCTTCTACCATGGTCTTAATGTATTAAAATTTTTCTCTCTTTTTCATACTCTTTGTTGGGATATTCGGGAAAATATCCCAGAAATTATTCTATTAAGCCTAATGCTATCCTTGGACATGAAATGGTATCATCTTATTGGTCAATTATTTATTTAACGTGTCATTTTCCTGTTGGCCAATATTGTACAATGTTATTTTCTATTTTATGGTACGATGTGGTCTGCTTGACTGGTATATAAACGAAGTATGTTTGAAATATAACGATTCATATCTCTGAGGCTGAGACTTGTGTTCTGGACTCAACCGGCTGGGTTAGACAGGGAAGCGGAACCAATCAGAACCCTAGGTCGTTCTTACGTGTTTGCGCGTCTTTGGTCCGATCAATAATTCGCTACCCTCTAATCTGCCGTCACAGTTATAACACTCTTGTTCTTTTACAGCCATCTGCTTCACCTTCCATCTTCCCTTTAAATCTTCTGTACCCAACTGGTTTGTTTTTATTTCCACGATCATTCCGATTACATTTCATCTCTTTTACAACATTTTACTATATCATGCTAAGTCATCCTTTCCCAATGATAATTTCCCTATCTATCTTTTGATGAATACATAAGCCATTTTACTTCACTGTCACCATGTCTAACAGAAGTTTATTATTAGTATTATTATCATCCTGTAAAATAAGTATATGTATATTTGCGGTTGTACAGCTTTGAAAATGAATTCTCCAAAAAGAGAATTCTTCGCTGAACTACTCTTCCTTATTTAATGTCTTAATGGATGTATTTCGTTGATTACAAAAAAAAGCGAATTTAAACTGTACAATTAGACTGGATTATATTCCTGCACTAAACTTTCTATCCTAAGCTCATAATATATAAAACAAATGAGAAAAAGTCATTCAATTCGTTAATTTATTATACATATACATATTTATAACATTAATAATCTTACATTATAAAAGTAAAAATTTTAGAATGTACACTACTAACAATAATCATAATAGTAGTAGTATTAGTAAATAGTATGATACATTTAAAAAAGAAAAACGTTTTCCTTATAAAATCACCGAAGTGATAAATAAATATCTAAACTAAATAATAAACTACAATTTAGTAAAACAAACAAAAAAATATTTGAATCTCAATACAAACTAAACAATTCTGTTGTTTATTTTCATTCTAATATCCCTATATAGTAACGTTTATTGATTATTCATGAGATTAAAAAAAAATGTCTCTAACAAGAAAACTTAATTCATTTGAAAAAGGGAAATAAAAATAGTCAATAATTTCATAGTTCCATTACAAAAACAAAAAAAACAAAATAATAATAATTCATGAATAAAATAGATGGTTACCAAATATTGATCTAGAAAAATAACATAATATGTGTATAGAAATAGACTCAAATGTACTTGTCCATTATATATATATCTATATTTCTTCACCATGTATTGAAGGCGCAATTAAAGTAATTTGGTCAACTATTTAATAAATATAGTTATAATCTTGATTCATTTAAAAATTGTTTTATTGATACGTTGACGTTTATATGGATTAGGTAAATTAGGATGTGAATTAGTAAAATGTCGACCTAAATCCCAACTCCATTTATAACTAGTTGTACATACACAACAAATAAATGGTCGTGAATTTGCATGTACCATAACATGTTTTTGTAATTCTGTTGGCCATTTAGCTATATAATTACATTTTGGACATGGATAACTTTTAATTTGTTGATTAAATTGATCAAATGGTTTATCTATAGAATGATTAACAGTTGAATTGATTGATGAAATATCAAAATGATTTTCTTTACAAGTTGTTAATGAGATTGATGTTGTTGGAATAAAATTCTTTTCATTAGTAGTAGATGTTAAAGAATTATTTTGTAATTCTTTTTCAGATATTAAAAGGTCAAGTTGAGCCTAAAAACCAAAAATGTAAAAATTCATTGATACTTTAAATGAGTTAATTAAATGTTGATCATTGAAATTGGTGTATAACATAAAAATTCTGCTCAAATTGAATTACAAAAAATGGGTATGAACCAATGAATGATTTAACGAGACCCTATCGCATTCATTACTAAGCTAAATGTTTCGTAAATACGAATGATTTTAATCGAAACACCTACTACAATCTACGGATCATAAAATTTTCCAGCAGTAAGCATAATTTTTTTATTTACCATTGTTTCCTTACGACAAATTAAATTATTACACCTTCATGTAACGTAAACAATCTATAATTATCACACAATTTATGAACTTCACTAAATTATTACACCACCCACCCTGGATTAACCCCCCTCTTTTGACCTCTGACCTGTTTCTAGCATATATATATATAGTTATTATTGTAATCAAGTTATTCACACTCATTTATGTCATTGTTTCACACTATCTCCATGTAAAAATTCTATCACAATTTTGGTTTGTAAGCAGCTGACGAGAAACCTCGAAATAATATGAATTCATACTATTCTGCATCAATGTTTGTTCTTGCTCTATTTAAAAATGTGACTGATAGATTGGTTCCTGGCAAATTTCCATTCTCATACTGTGATAACGGGAGATTAATTAGCGAAACTTGAAAACATGGGGAATTTCAGAGTAAAAAATTTATTCGATGATTATTATTCATTCAATCATATATGGTGAACTTTTTAAAGATCAACAGAAGGTAATCTATGAACTAAACAATATATATATATATATATATATCTTATTTTGTGATTTTGTTCATGAGCTGGATATTCAATAGACTTATCTAAAACTATCCATTTATATGTTTATCTACTTACAAATATTTAAGTTAATAATCTTTCATTAAAACATCAAGAAATGAGACACCATAAATTAAAACTTCACTCACTTGAAATAGTAATTTAGATGTTTTACTATTTGAATATTGTGCAAAAGTGCATTCTGATTCTAGAAGACTTCCATGTACATGTGAATAATGCGTGTTAAGTTGATTCATTCCTTCAAACATTAATCCACATGCTGCACATATTGTTGTTCCACGCCAACCTACACGACGTCTCCTACAAATTGATCTAGTATTTGTACGACATGTGATAACACCATTGTCTTTAGTATCATTAGCATCTTCACCGTTAATTGGGTTTTTCTGTATATTATTACTATCAGGATGATTTTTTAATTTTCGATGAATTTTTCGTTGTGTATGAACAATTTTATTACGTGAATAATATAAACGATTTATTTGTCGTGAATATTTTCTCCACTTCATTTTCTCAGTTTCATTTATTGATGTCTCCCTTTCGTTTTGTTGTTCTCTAAGGTTTTCTCGTTCAATTTTTACTGTTTCTATATCATCTGTAAGCTTATTACGCCATACTGGTGTCGATGTTAAAAATTCATTATCAAGATGGGATTGTTGAACTGTTGGCGAAGGTGTACGTATTATAGAATACATTGAACTACCTTGATATTATTACTATTATTATTATCAATAACAGTAGTAGTACTAGTACTAGTAATATTAGCAGAATTATAATTAAAATTATGATGTATATTATTGTGATTCATCATAAGAAATTGGTTTAAACTGTCTGGTAACCATTTCAACTCCGTTGACATCATTTTATTGGTTGTAGCATATAAATTCATATTCATTTTATTAGTTAAATCCGTAAGATAAAATGAATTATTATAATTGTCATTTATATTATTACCATTAAAATGATTCATACCAAAATAATCGATATTATTCCGATCAGGATCATGAATATTATTAGCACAAAATATATTACTGATAATTTTCATTTTATTAGTATATTGCATTAAATCTAATTTAAATTGATCACGAATACATAAATTGATTGGTTCATTTTGTTCATTCATTATTGATAAATCTTTATTAAAATTGATCAAATTTGTATCAATACTACTATTTTCATTAAAAGTAGTATTATCATTCGTCCTTGTTGTTGTTGTTGTAGTAGTGGTCGGTGTTGTTGTTGTTGTTAAATTTGAATTAAAACATAATTGACTATCAGTTGATTCAGATAATGTTGTACACTTTGATAGACTATTCATGATTGAATAATAATTTTGTAAACTATTATGATAAATTTGATTGAATGTTTCATCAAATTTCTATATAAATTTAATAATAAAATCAAATAGGTTATTAATATGAATTAGGTGCTTTGGTATTATTTAAAGCATAGTAATGAAAATAGTCTATTAGACTAAATACCATAATCAGTTGACTAAATGAATGTATGTAATATGAGGTTTGAACCTGTGTATATTAGATGTTAAACATTGAATAAATTAACCTTTAAACACACAGATTACTATCCTGTTGAGCTGTTTCTGTAATAAATACACATCTTTTTTCTAATTCACTTTATAGAATTAAACAAGCTAGTTTGTATAATATGTGTTCATAGAATAATTCAAAGTACAGTGGGTAAATTAAGGAACATTCTATTGTGTAATACTGAGTTTAGGTATAGATTAAAGTAAAAAAATTGATTAGTGAGGCTGTGAATTTTATTAGATCAACGTGAATAAGACATATATTACTTGTCTTCTATCATTACCTACTCTGATGTGACTTAGGATTATGTTGAAAGAAAGTTTGGAGTTATCAAACTAAAACCTGGTTTGAATTAACTGATATCAATCATATCAGATAGGTTTTGTGGAGATTGTAGTAACTTCAGTAGTTGAGATCATGAGTCAGTTGAAGTTAAACCACTATGGGACTCCTTAGCAGTGAGCATCCCCGACCCCGCGCCCCATGCGAGATTCGAAACCAGGACTCATCAGTCTCGTGCACAAGCGCTTAACCATTAGACCACTGAACTGGCATCCAACGGTGTTAATGTCTAACTTCAACCAATCCACCAAATTGAGAGACACATCCACCATTGTCTTCAGTGAGTTACTATCCCACAACAGACGTGGTTGAACTCCACTGGTCACTAGTGACTGGCTTCACGAGGTATATCCTGGAGTTCTAGTGAGATGTAGTAACCAGTGGTGTTCAACCAGGTCTGTTGTGAGATAGTAACTCACTGAAGACAATGGTGGGTGTGATATCAATCATGTCGGTAGACGGAAAACATCATTTGGTGCTCATGATCTTTTGTAATTAGTATGAAATGGATCAAAATCAATTATATGTTCCTCTAGATCTTAAATTGTTTAAAATATACTCCATAATTTAATTTCATTTTTTCTTCACATACCATATTCTTTATATTTAGTTCTTTACTGTTAAACCAACCTGATGTTGACTGTTGTGAAATTTATTTCTTTTAGTTTTCTTCCATTTTACTAGTATGATACATGGTATAATTGTATACTGATGAAAGTTTATAATAAGTTTATATCTAATAAATTAGTTGGAAATTTAGGCAGAATACAAAAAAATTCCTGAGATTCCGTTATTGATTTGAATTATACTACTGAATGACTTATTGAATCAGTTAATTTATTCAATAGTAAATAGTGTGATACGAAAAATACATAGTTAAGCCTGCAACACACTTGTTTTGATCATTAATGAACGGCCCTACTTGGTGTTACATGTAATCAGCTTCACGTAATAATTTTTGCGTAATGATCAGTGATACATCATATGTGTCAGAACCAATTCAGGTAGAACGTGTAACTTAACTAATTATGTTATGTCAACTGTTGTTTAATAAACATAAAGTTACCCATAAAAACAATACAAAATCATAGAGATTATAAAATATATAGATCATTACTAGCAGTGAAGACAAAGATATGTACATTGTTCTATATGAGATTCATCAAATGCATGTATCTACATCCCAGTTTGTTGTTGCTATTATTCACATTTTATAACATAAAAATATAGAGATTATATAATTAAACTATTCATTTGTTGATAAAACTCAATTAAATTAACATATTTGAAATGAATGTGCAGATATATAAGCTACACCTTGAATATAAACATAATATCCCGAAAGTTTAAATAAAAATTTAATTAAATTTCTGATTTTAAATTAAGATCATATTGAGTAGCAGTAGTAGGGTTAGTCATGACATATATTCTATTTATACAATAATTTGCATAATATTAATGAAATTTACAGATTTTCAATTTGCATATGACTTTGTATTAATTTTAAGATTTACAGTTCATATAAACGAGAGCACACCGACATACATAGGCTTTAATATTTATGTAAATATATACAGCCTCTCAAAAACTAATTATTGTCAACATTATTTTATAAATATTGTCAAGCTACTTAAATATTATTCAGTAGGCTTCACTATCTGCTAGGAATAAAAATTACATGGTTAGTAAGGTGGTTGTAGAGATTGTTGAATTTGATTGAAATCATAGATCGATCTAAGTTGAAACACCGTTGAAAGCCTTCAAGTACTGAGGGGCTGTTTATTCCAAGTAAGGGACTACACAGAAGTGCGCATCCACCACCCCACATGAGGGAGTCAAACCCAGAAACTTCGGCATCCCGAGTGAACGCTTATCATCTAGACTATTAAACCGAGATCCAAGGGTGTTATTGTCGAACTTCGTGGATGCGTATCGTTAAGTGGACCCATACTAGGACAGAATGTACACCTTTGGCTTCTATGTTTTTTTAATGTTTTTCTAAATTAGATCGGTTCATGAATTCAATGATATTACATAGTAGTTTTGATACAGGAATAATGGATTCAAAATTGTATTCCTAACTGAGAAAAATACACCTTTGAAATAGATAAGCCACATTCATAAATTTAAGTTTGCTGGAAGAAAATATAGTAGTTATTAAACTCTTTTGCACTTCATCAATACTTAAATCAATGCAGAATAGCCTATACCTATAATCTTAGCTGATATGAGATTCATGATACCCAATCGTGATCAAGCAGAACATTTGAGTGAAAAGGAAACTACTTAGTGCATTTTATTAACAAAGTCCAGTTTATTGCATATTTTGTTAGTAACTAATGGTGAAATTCAGGATGTCCGATTATTCCTATTTGGGACTCATCAGTTGGATGTACTTGTATCCCCGTGTTATGTTCACAATCGAACTCGAACATACTATCCTTTGGTTCAAATCCTAATGTAGTTCCCCACAAGCCTGTATATTGACCAATAATTTACATGGTGGTAATAAATACATAACTCTGTCAACTACATCCACATAAAAACTTGGTTTAATCTAGCATTTAGACAAACCACCCAATCCTTCATTTTTCCTAAAAATCAATGGATATCGTTAAATATTTTTAAAAATTATTTTTGATCTCCCATTAAATGCTTAATTTTCTCAGGTTGAAATCATGAGTCGATTGAAGCTAGACCACCATGGAAAACCTGGAAGCACTGGACGGCCGTTCTATCCCGGCTCAGTGGTCTAGTGGTTAAGTGCTCGCGCGCGAAGCCAGTAGGTCCTGGGTTCGAGCCCCGCGTTGCGCGGGATCGTGGATGCGCACTGATGGGGAGTCCCATACTAGGACGAAACGGCCGTCCACTGCTTCCAGGTTTTCCATGGTGGTCTAGCTTCAATCGACTCATGATTTCAACCTGTGAAATTTCTAAAACTCTCCACAAAACCCATTCTGAGCTTAATTTTCTATTAAAAAATTGGTCTCAGCCAGTTTATCAATAAGTATCACCATTGGATGTTTAGGGATATTAATAAAACTCATAACTAATATCACAGATTGATCTTAATTAGACAAACATGTGCTCACTACTGAACAATTTCGAGTTCTAATGAAAAACAGTAATCAGTAAAATACAACCACAACGAGTATATGAGGCATTTTGTGTTTAAGTCTGCATAATATTGTGAATGGACTGAAATTACAAATATAAACAGTTAAGTTTCGACTTAGTAATATAAAAGTTGATCGCTCGCCAATAGATCTGAAATGTTCTGGGTTCGACAGATGAGTGTACACTTCCGAAGAACCCCATACTAGAAAAAAACACCCAGTGATTTTTGGTTTAGAATGGTTGTCTAACTGAAAAAAGTCTTTTATGTAACCAATGAATTATGAGTATATGAATTTACCAATATTTTTCGGGTTCGACTCCCTCATGTGGGGTGGTGGATGCGCACTTCTGAATATTCCCTTTCTTGGAATAAACAGCCCCTCAGTACTTGAAGGTTTACAACGGTGTTTCAACTTAGATCGATATATGATTTCAATCAAATTCAACAATCTCTACAACCACCTTACTAACCATGTAATTTTTATTCCTAGCAGACACTACTATTAGCCTCCTTAAAAAGAATATATGCATTAAAATACAGATACACTCTCCTGATGAGTCCCAAACAGGATGAAACACGAGGTATAGTTTTTTTTTAGTTTATTAAAATTTAATACATGGATACATATTTACCAACACTACTCCATTTGTTTATAAATATAATAAATACTGTAAGAACTTGACTTAGAAAGAAACTCTATAGTTACCTTTTCTTTTTTTTATTTGAACACCATCAAACAACAACAATAATAGTTCTCTAAAACTGATCTCAATTTTCCTAATAATATTTCATCTTTAATCAATATTTTTCATTGAAAAGAATTGATAAATAAGTCAATTTGTTTGTGTGCATGTATGTGTATTTGTGTGTGTGTTTATATGTACGCGCGTTTATGTGTCTCTAATTATCAGAAAAGTGATTAATAATCAAATTTAATTATTACATCATCATTACATTAAATATCACTTTATGATTTAAAATATCAATGATGAAAACATACTGTTGACACTGATTACTATTCATTTTAGAAATAAAGTCGCTTATAATGCTTAAGTCAATCAGTAGCGTAAACAAAAGCTACACAATAGGACAATCATCAAGATATATAAATAGATTACGTAATAGTGTCGAAGATTTTGATATTGAATATATCGAAGTGAAATTTAAGTTACTTTAATCACCTAGGTAATATAAATTTTTTTCTAAGTGGAAAAAAAATGAAATCTTTAGAAATTCTTTAATTAAATAATCTTAAGTTCAACTATGACCTTGAAGAAAATGAAGAACTCAATTAGTAATATTTATTAAGATCATGAACCGATCCTGTAAGCATTGGGTGATCATGTTTTTCCTATTATGAAGATACTCAGA